ATCTGCGCGAAGTTTTCCGAATTATGCAGAAGACACATCGAAAGTTTGCAATATCTTTTCCAGTGGATTTTGTCCCAAAATAAACTATGAGACACTATCATCCAAAGCATGTTTTTAGGCTCAGAAACAGTCAAATATTCATACGAAAGAAAATATGCGTTAAGTTTTGTGAACGAATCTAAGTTTTATATGAAAAAACTTGCTAAAATGACTTTGCAAAGCTCCTCCTGATATTGACATGTACATGGCAAAGCTATTGAGCAGAATGCTTTTAATTAATGGTGTGCTGCCCAGATTTGACTATTTTTATGTTTGTTTCTTCAAACTTCCTTGAGCACCCTTTAAATTCATTCCATTCCATTTTTTTTCTTGTGCTTGGCCTTGATTAAGAATGTTTGTCTTTGTAGCTTTGCAGCCTTCTCGCTATGTGCATAGAGGCCAGATTCGGATACATAGCTTCTCGTAATTCATTTGATCGCTCGAATCAATTATATTATACCATTAACTGACTGCATTTCGCTTTGGACCAATAACGTGTAGTCATTCGAGGCTTGAATACACGAAATTGTTTCAATTCAAGGGGTATTGCCCGTTCCAATCATGTCGGCTTACCACCGCCCTTCATATTGTAGTGAATACCCCAGCAACTTGCTACATGTTGAGTGGACAGAGGATGAACAGGTTTGATGGTTATTATTTTTACGAAGCGCTTAAGCATTGATATCTAAACATTTTCTCATGTTATAGATTATTTGTAGTTTCTTCAAATCATTTTTGTACCAATACAATCAATAGTGTCCTGCACGAATTTTTAGGGAAATTCAGTGTGCAAAATTGTTGGAAATGCGCAATATCCTACGTTTTAAGTGTATGTGCAGTGCCGATATTATACCCACCCTTTGAATGTCTCAGTTCTTGCTTGTCAATGATGTGATGTATTTGGCACAGCTGTATGTATACCAGTCTACTGTCGCTGACCAGAACGAGTGTTACTTCTGTTGATTTACTTGGGGATCAGAATTTCAAAAAAGCTGGGACGAAATGTTCAAGCTGTAGATCCATCTATTAGGTTGTCCGGAAATTAATGCCCGTTTTGAATCAACCGTAGTAACTCATACACTTCTCACTTCTGAATAGGTTGCAAAGTATCATTCGATAGAGCAAAGCAAGCTCTACAAGATGGCCGTCCTGCTTTTGCAACAGCTCTCGTCCACCTCGAGTTTCGAGCCAAAAATTAAAAAGACTCAGCAGCCCGAAAAACCGAAAAAAATCGTAACTCAGTTCATAAAAATCCTAGAAAAATTCTTGCTTGCTCACGTAAACCCTATCCACATGAAACATCTATATACGCCTTTGCCGTATTTTTTCCTCTGTCAGAAATCAAGAAAACGGAAATTTTCGTGCATTTGCCAAAGTGGTTTTATGCCGTCCCCACATAAATAGTTGTATACTACAAACCTGTAGAAGTACAAACGTAATTTCTCAGCTCTCTACAAGCTTCAGTTCTCGAGAAATTTAGATTTTAGCTTGGACCACCTAACTAGGGGAAGCTATATTCGGTTTTTCTCGAGAACTAAAGCTTGTAAAGAGCTGAAAATTTAAGCCTGTACTTCTACAGGCTTGTGGTATACGACTACCTATGTGGGGACGGCACAGCATCACTTTGGCAAATGCACGAAAATTTCCGTTTTCTTGGTTTTTAACAAAGGGAAAAATACGGCAAAGGCGTATAAAGATGTTTTATGTGGATAGTGTTACGTGAGCAAGTAAGAGTTCTTGTAGGATTTTTATGAACTGAGTTACGATTTTTTTCGGTTTTTCGGGCTGCTGAGTCTTTATAGTTTTTGGCTCGAAACTCGAAGTGGACGAGAGCTGTTGCAAAAGCAGGATGGCCGTCTTGTAGAGCTTGCTTTGCTCTATCGAAGGATACTTTGCAACCTATTTAGAAGTGAGAAGTGTATGACTTATTGCGGTTGAAATTCAAAACGTGCATTAATTTCCGGACAACCTAATACTTTTTACCTTTGCTGCATTTTATTGTTCTTGTCTTGGTGTATTGTATCAGCACTGAAATCCGGGGTGTATATGTACTTCTAACTATATTAGAGAATACGACAACACCACACAAAGCAGCCCCGGAAACATACAATACCACTCCTAATTTGTGGAAATAATCACCGCATTCCGCCGGAGTTCGCCGAACTTCGCGTTGCATCGCCATCTTGCTTCAGAGTGGACGAATTCCGAACCCAGAAACCATTCGACTCAATTCGACGAGATGCATCATCTGATATACAAAGTGCCTGTTTGGGCACAATAGTCGGTCAAATTCTAAGGAACTTTCCAAATTTTTGCTTACGGTAAGCTGATCGTTATGCAGTGATTCAGCACTCTGAGTGACCTACCCTGAGCAAGAATCTGGAAGGGTCCGTGAAATTTGACCGACTATCTACCCAAACAGGCAAATCTATGTACCAAAAGATGCCTTTCGTCGAGCTGAGTTGAATGGTGTTTTTGGATTCGGGCTTCGTACACTTTAGAGCAAGTTATAGCGGTGCAACGCGAAGCTCGGTGAACTACGGCGGAATGCAGTGATTTTTTTTTCACAGATTACGAGGGGTATTGTGTAAAAAGAGCACTGAGATTATCGCAATTTTTCATTTTTTGATCTAGCCCTGTTGGTCCCGCAAGACTGGCATCAGCATTGCTTATGCTCTGAAGGGAGGAATATGCTCCCCTGTGTACCAAAAATGGTTTCTGGATTTCGTGGTCGTCGAAGTGGTCCTAGAACGGTAAATTTAGGCTGCGACTGCTCTAACGAAGTCATCTCAAAATACAACATTAACCTTTTTTCGCGATAAGGGAGTCTAGTGCTCGCCTATGAAAGTCCAATTCGTCTATACTGCTAGATTAAAGGCTGGTCTCTGTTTCGATGAACGTTCTTAATCTCCCTCAAGATTTTGCAAAAAAAAAACAGTAAGAACGGAACCCACTGTGAAATTTCTGAACCCAACTGTAAGCCAGAATGAGGGTAAATATTAGGTGAACACGAAAAATCAGATACAGCAGAACGATCTCGTATCGTCAGCCAAAATAGGGATTTGACTGAAAATAAAACCAGAGAAACGTAAGGTCGTTCTTCAGCTGTGTCTGGTGTACTTTTGATATGCATTTTAAGAAGAAAATCACATAGTTACATATTACATCTCAAATCAGCTGATGATATTTCGTCGTAAATTTGTGCAAAAACCCTATCTTCAATACTGAAAAAAGGGAATTTCAAAGTTGTCTTCTTATAGGATATGTACATTATCAACTTTTTTGAAATTTCTAGTTTGTCATGGATTTATAAGGTCCCATTTACGACACTGCAACCTTTAGAGGTTTTTAAATGACTGTATCTTCTCCTGTTATCCACTTATTCTTGGATATTCAAAAAAATGACGGTGCAAGATGCACAGACAAGCTTTTTCGCTCCAAAAATCTGCTCTGAAAGCTCACACAGCTAATGTCAACGCTTTGATCACTATCGGGACCCTATGAGAGGTTTTAATCCCATTAATCAACTCAATTTTTTTTCTGCCAGGTTTTGTGAATTCAAAATTAGTTGAAATACATTGGGGACGAGAACAAGGAAGCAATGGATTTATCCAGCTATTCATGTGAAAGCTGCATCCTTATCAGTCAGCTTTGTGAAGAATTGGTTTTATGAAAAGCAAAATTCATAAATCAAAAGCCTTTAAGGGCTTCGCAGACATTTCTCAAAAAGCGAACTTCTTACACATTGAATGAAATGACAAAAATATCTGTTCCACCCACGAACTCCATTGTTTGCACTTTTTGAAAAGCGAATAGAAAAACAATAATACATGCGACTTCTTTTAAGCTCTAAAGTCGTAAAAGTTTGCGCATCCGATATAAGCCCGTAATGAAGCTCGTGTCTGGGCAGAAAGCTTCTCAGGATTAAACAGATCGTCTTGACGCGTTTGATTATGCTAATGTACCTTTCAGAGCGTCGATGCCTACTGCTTGTGTGATCCCCAGTTCTCCACAGATTTCGCAACTCTTTCCGACTGAATCACGCGCAGAAATTCCCTAGTTGTTCTAGATTGCAATGCTTTTTATTAGTATCAAAAATTCCACTAACTTTGGGGCTTCATTTTATCACGAAGCCATTTGGTTTCGGAAACGCAATCCTTTCAACCTGCACATGCCATTATATAAAATTGCTACAGGTTTCAATGCTACACACAATGGTAACATGTTTCAGTTTCAGCTAGAATATGATACTATAGATATTTATGAGGTTGCACCGCCATTACATAAAGTGAAGTAGTTTTCCATGTTAATGTATGCGATTGCACAATTTCCATAGTTGGCGATGGGCGCAGCATTCCCAAAATTATTTGCGCAAAATAATCGCTTACGCTTGTATAGAGGTGGAGTATGCTTTAACAGTGCAGACAATCACAAGCATTATTTAGTTGCATTTACATACATTAGCAAAAAAAGATTCTTGAATGATCAGTGGTAGATATGGTTGATCTAAATCTGTCAGCTAAGCAGGTGTTTCATAGAAGAACTAGAATAACTATCTTGAAAATTGAAAGGTTTGTTTTTTTACTTATGTGTGACGACGAGATCGAAAGAATTCTCATGAAGAAACTATGAAAAAAATTGGTGACTTACACAAATAGTCCATTCTATAAAAATACAGGAGTCCTATGGTTTCCATTTCACTTCTCAACTCCTCCCATAGCATGATTTTCTCCTTATGTTGTGGTCAAAATCTATGTGTACAGCCTTTTGTTCAGAAATAGAAATTTAGCAAAGGGTCCTGAAAGAAGTATAAGCCTTAGTGGTTTTTGAACTAATGACTTTCTAGTCTCTATGGGATACAAGGCTTTCTCCCCCCCCCCCCCTCTACATAGGGATAAAGTAGAATGTAATTTAGCCTTTATCCGATTATAAGTTACCACAAATTGATTATTGTTTTATAGGCACAACGACTCCGTGCTATGGAGTCTAGAACGGGCTCCGTTGGCGACTGCTCGAAAATAGCCAACTATAGGATCAGCAAGCAAAATCTGTTCAGAAGACGGTAAGATCTTTATTTATTGCGTTCATTTCGTTTTTTTCAAATCATTTTCAATATATTCTCATTTGTAAAACTGCTTACATGCGCGCTAAGCATCGGCTTAGCCTTGACAAGTTTTTTCTTCTTCTTACGTTCCATGTGAATGAGATTTTACCTCTTTACTGTGAGTAAAAGTACAAAAAAAAGATCACTTACATTCCATATAGTATTGTTCAGGGGGAGGGGTCGAAAAAGGGTTGCAAATTTTTTGAAAATCACTTATGTGGTCATGAAACTATGCGAGTGACTTGCTTTCAACTAAATATTTTTTAATTTCTTAAATTTCTAAAAAGTTTGATTTAGCTTTGTAATGAAACTCCAGCGTAAAATAAGATTCTAAGTAACTTGTCCTGCATGGATTATAAAGTGAATATTTCTTACTGCATTTTTTAAATGTCTCAACTTTTCTATGATGGCTCAGTTTTGGTTATAGCATGGAATTTATGTGTTTCTCCGCTGAAAACTGCAATTCTTTTGTAGAGTGTTGATTGTTTTCTGACAAGACGGTCCTAAGTTGGTTCTAGGTTGAGTAAACAAAAAAAAACTCTTAACTCTGTAATCGATATGGTATTCGCAATCAGCATGTTCAAGAATCCCCCTAAACCCCCTAAGCCCCTAAAGTTTTGAGCAAATTCAAGCCAATTTACCCATCATGCAGAATATAAATCACGTTGTAGTAGGCATCTCAAAGGCCTGGGCAAAGTTACAATGAATTGTGTGATTTACATATCATAAACGGACCGTAACCGGGCTCGGCACGAGGTGTTTCCAAAAATGCAAAAAACGAAGTTCCTCCTGACTTTCAGAAAATTTTACCAAATCCTTTCTGACCCTTACCCCCAAATGGACTGAAAAATTCTAAAAAACCGAAGCGTTGATGAGAAAAACCTAATCTTACTTGTAAAATTCCAACCCGCAAAAACAATATCCCCTTTGCTTTTTGTCCCGAAAACGATACCCAGCCTACTTATAAGCCACCCGTGCCGACTGAACTAACTCTGTTCTAAGAAGGGAAGGAGACTAACTTAGATTCGCTTTTTGAGATGATACACATATATTGGAATCAGCTTTGAATGCTGATTCCAAATATGCTGCTCCTAGCTGCTTAGCGCTATTCCGAAGCGAGTTATAGGCTTGCCGTTGTGAACAATTAACAAACTTCTAAATTTCGTAAGACGGCGTATAGATGAGAATCTGTTTGAAAAAAGTGTTAGGATGTTGAACTAGCATCAGATTAATTCTTTCGGTCTTGAAAGGGAACATTATACAATTGCACAGGTACCTAGACGTCGACACCGTAACATCTGTAGCTTGAGAAGCACGCAAACTTTGCATAGAAAAGAGACTATAACTCGCTTCAGAATAATGCTAAGCAGCTAGGAACAGCATATTTGGAATCAGCGTTCCAAGCTGACTTTAAATATATGTGTCTACTCTCAATAGGCGAATCTAAATTAGTATCCTTCCCTTATAAGACGTTTTCTTAGGAAATAATCGAGATACTCATGATCAGTAGGCGTAATAACCCCTTAGGCTAATTATACGAAATTTGTGATTTTGCATTTTTGGGTTGTAAGTGGAACGCCTCATCAACTTAACAAAAGGTTGATCTCAAACCATTCAGTATAGTGTCGCAGAATGTTATGAATTTCAAAAAAAGTACAGAACTTCAAATCAATTTTAATGCTGACACTTACAAATTTATTCAGAAACGTTTTGAAAGTATGAGTTCGATTTACTTAAGTATTATGATTGAACATCTTTTAGCTCTACAAGGCGGCGAATATCAAATGCGCAGAGACTAGCAGATCTGGAGGACTTCATCAATCGGAGGTAAATTTTTATGTTGTTTTAGTGCATAGAAATCGCTCCAGAATCGAAAGTTTATGTGAACGATTTGCACTGATGGCATAGAACAACCTCAATGCTTAGATCTGGAGGAGAGTAATAATTGTGCTACATCTCAATGAGACCTCAGAGCAGATTTTCAAAATGAAACCTCAGAGCAGATTTCCAACCTTCCTCCGCTCTCATTTTTTCTATTGGTGTAAGCACAATTTAGAAAATTTGCAAAACTTTAAATTATGAAGCTACAAACTCATGCAAATGTAGTTGAAATATGCTGGATGGTTACTATGGTTTTCTCAACAATGGAATTGAATATTTACCTAATGTGCTTGCAAGAAATGCTTGATTGTTGTGAACTTCATTACTAATGTATAGCCCTGCGCATTGTGTGCTGAACGGAAATTACTTGAACGCCGCACATAAATGTTAGAATCCCTAATTCATATCTCTAGGCTGCCTCGAGAGCTTTGTCCTTTTTAATCTATCACACCAAATCCCATAAAACCTTGACCGACGAACGGTTTAGGTATGGTTGATTCACATTTTTTCTTATTGGTTATTATCGTCATGGTTCTTCGAGCAGTCTTTCTTACAATATCGCCTTAATTTTTGAAAATTCAATCAAGCATTTTCAAAAGAAGCTGTTGCGTAAAATATACCTTTTGTCAAACATCGCTCGTTTTAAACCACCACAGCAGCTTTTGAGATTACGAAATTGTTTTATAATAATTAATGAATAATTTCGTATTTTTCATTCATGAGAAACCTCAGGCCGACTACACATTTACGCTGAAGCGTACAGGAAATTCCAGACGACTGATTTCTAAGCCAATCAAAATTCAAAACCCTGTAAGAATCAAGGTCAATGATACTCGGGCGTCAAATCACCACCACTTTTGAAGCATCTCTTTTTGCAGCAGCCGATTGTTCAATCTCAACAAAAATCTGATTTTCAGAGGAAGGGATTTGTAAAACTCAAAATAGTAGATTGGAAGAATTGGAAGATTGCTTCTCGCCCATTATTATACAAAGTGTCCCAAAAAATGTGTCTATTGTTTGATCGTTAACACATTGACGACCGCTTGACACACATGGTATGTCAAGCAATGACTACCGCGACCGCAAGGCTTGAATTTTGTCAAGATGACTACTATCCTAAGATAAGCTCATTCCACGAGCTTTCTTTTGCTCTGAATCTAGGGATGACCTCTACCTTTTTTTGTCAACCTTTCAGATCTACTGTAGGCGCATGGTAGATGGCATTATATGGGCTGGATCGTAAAAGGCCTTGGTCCCAGAAGGCAGACAACTAAAATCCTGCATGGTCGTCAATGTGTTAATAACTCTCTTGTAATGAAGTCTTTCAAGAAGCTTTGAGTACCATTTTGTAGGGCTGACTTCAACTTAGATTTACCGTATAAAGCGAATCACCGATCGCTCTTCATCACTGTAGGATTACGGTAGAAACTTTGAGTACATGGTATTGTGAAAAAACTGCCATTTCAAAAATTTTCAAAAAAAAAATGCGAAAACTTGTGTGATAGGGTTTTCGTGGAAGCTCAATTCAATACTTATGTATAGAACTGCAAAGCTTTCTAGACGGTGAACCTCATTTTTTAGGAACATTGAAAAACGCTACGCTTACCTCTTATAACTTTTTAATGAAGCATCATAATGAGTTGCGAACTTCACGTTTGAAATCAGCAGCTTCAAGTAGCACAGAGTAAAAGCTTTCAGGTTATTCTGTTTCCTGTGGCAAAATATGCTTTTCATGGCTCAAAACCCTCTTTAAATAAACTTTCTACCGTAATCCTACAGTGATGAAGAGAGATGCGTGATTTGTCACTGCATAATTTGAAGCTAGATCTCAAAGTGGTTCCCAAAGCTTCTCGAAAGACTTCTTAAAAAAGAGTTATTAACAATCAGACAGTAGGCACATCTTTTGGAACACCCTGTATATGTTTTAAAAACTTTATAAACGCAAAATTCTGCCGTAACTTGATGTATCCTCGCAAAAAAACACACCGATTTGAACGGTTTTCTTGAAATGTTGAAACTCTGTTCAATTTTACAGCTGTCATGCCACTAGAGGAACGTTATTTTACTCATAGTTACGACCATTAAAGATTTCAACACAGTCAGAATATTCGGTAGTAAGCAAACCCATGGATATTATTGATTGACATTTTCATCATAAAGTTACTCTGCAATATATCAAGTTCAAGCAAGTTGACTGGTGCTTTTGATAGACCGAGATAACTTTCCATAAAATGCATTTTTTGGTTTCTAAGCAACCTAAACCTGCTATGATCAAAATACAGCAACATTGCTTCGTCAAATAAAGTATTCGCATCATTGTCCTCGAGCCATTTGTAAATCAATATCGGAGTCTGCACACTATGCGTTGCAACCGACGGCAGCTTACCAGTAATTCCAAAGAAAATCCTTTTCTAGAGTAACAAAATATAGAAATGTGTCTAGCAACTAATACATTTCCAATCGAATTAGAAAAAAAGAGGAAACAAAGAGAAATCACTGAAAATGAGCAGTTCCTAATCTTAGGGTTCGTCAAGTAGCGCGCAAGTGCAATAAGTGTATAAGTTATGAATGACTCGACGATAAGCTTGGGGATTTGCACGACAGACGAGGACGTCTGTTTTCTTTTTTGTCATCCCTTCAAATCTCGGTTTTCTGCAATCTCCGCTTCTTCCTGATCATCGGTGATCATCGTACTATACGTAAATGTAGACATAATTGTTGCAAACGGAGGAATCTTGATTATCTTACAATCAGCAGAAATTCATTATTTATGTACTTGCAAAGGAGGAGCACAGAACCCTTGTCCGCATGTAATTTCTTTTTCCTAAAGTTTGGTGAAGCCGTACAATGCTCACAAAGGCTTCAGCATAAGTTGCCGTATTATCTTTATTTGAATTTGTCATTAACAAGTCCTTCTTTAAACTGCTGCAACTTTCATGCAAATGAAACCAGAGCCCTCTTTTTGATTTTTGATTCTAACGTCATTCATCAAATTACTGCAATTTAAAAATTCTTTACACTCGGAAGAGTTGCATTCTTCCAGCTAAGTTTATAATACAAATGGAAGTAATCTGAGAGTGTAAAAAATCCTTTCCACCCTTTCTCATTTTTTTCAGTTTTATAGAAAGTGAAGACTTCACTCCAAGTGTCAAATTGCATTCTTTTTACTATCACAATTTTTTTGCAATAAATCAGATTTTTATACGGCAGAAAGCTTTTTGACATACCATAAGGTATTCATGAAAAATATAGCACTTACATCTGGAACCTTAATTTTTAACACACTAGACGGTTTTTTTCCTCAAAAAAAGAAGGTTGTGTTTCCAAATGTTTTCCATTTTTCAGTTTGGACTTTTTTGTGATCTCTTGATATGCTATATAAACACTTTTGAGTGGGTTTCAATGACAGGATATTGTATACTTCTGAGAAGTAATTTACACCAATGGCTTTTCACACTTGAAACAGGAGAAGTACGTTAGAAAAAGTGATCAATTCTTTTAGACGGAAACATTCTAGCTACTATTTTGCTTGGGTCTCATTTTTGCTTATTTCAGTTGCACTCTTTATTTTAGTCAAGAGGATGCGTCATTGTAGGTTACAGATTTGACATTAATTAAGTTTGTGAAAAAAAGGCTACAAGGTAGGATGTATATGACATACGAATCAGTAAAAGGCGTAAATGCTCGCGTCAGCTATTACTGAGTAAATTTCTCAATCCGGTTTTCAGTGTATATGAGACCAAGAGATTCTTTTGTATTGGCGATGAAATGTTTCGCAAAATTAGCATGACTTGCAGCTCCATTTAGAGACTTTGAGTGAAATGTACTGATAAGGGAAGTGCCAGCTCTGTGAAACCAAAAAGAAACGCTGATTCTAAATCTACATTACGCTTTTGCGGAACAACTCTTGGAAAGAAGTTACGAGCGTTTGAAAGGACAAATTTATCAAGTTTCAAGTGGCATGAAATTAGCGAAAAGCTGTATGCACCTGAAAGTCAGAAATCAATCTTAAATCGAGTATTTTGACTACAAGGAAGGAGTTTAGCCAGTGAAAATCAGCATATATGTTTTGTACAGCTCTTCGCTATTTTTGTGCCATGTACAGCATAACGAATTTGGACATACAACGTTCTAATTTCTTTCGAAGAGTTGTTCCGCAGAAACGGAAAGCAGATTTGGAATCAGCGTTTGAAGGCGCGTTTACTGATGTATCCCTTTTTGGTTTGCCAGATAATATTGGTATTCTTCCCTTTTGAGCACGGTCAACCTTTTTTCTTACCAAATGTCTCAGACATCGGTTACATCAAGTCCAAAGCAGCAGTGCCACAGCATTCGTATGTAATTGTTTCCTGTTCACAAGTGAGATTGTTCCTAGACATGCAAAGGCCTTTGACGAACTCGGCTGTGGCAGGCAGAATCGGAATGACTTACATTATGACAGCTCCTTCGTAGCTTGTCAATATTCTTTTCGTTTTTCTACCGAAATTATTAGCTTGATTCGTTGATTAGCTTCGTCGTCGTTTTTTAAATGGTACATTGACAGAATTTCTTAAGCCGCAAGCCTTAGCCTGCCCTTAAAGCATCAGTACAAGGCAGCAAATTTTTCGAACATCAGATTTATCTGCTTTGATATCACCATTTTACCAATTCTGATATATTATTCATCAACGATTGCATTAGCGAAATTGTAGCGTTAGTGAGGTGCAAAGGAACTTCTAATGCAACTTTAACAAGGCACAATTCATCTTCTTTTTGACAAATGCATCAATATCGTCGCGTTTCATTTCTTCTCAAATACATTCATGAAGCTTTTGCATTTTGAAACAACCTTCGCTGCGGTTTGTGCCAATGCACATCTTGCTTCAGACACGGCTCTGCCCACGTCGAAGTGTTGGCTTACATTTCAATCTTAAAGAGATACGTGTGAGAATTGTCTTTTACTGAGT